TAACAAATTTGTTTATTATGTATGTACAAAGTATATGTATATTGTATAATCAGCCCTTCTGTATATTACTTGTTATTTTAATTGATTCAACAAAATTAATTTCGCTTGACCAGGTGTCAATAACGGTGATGTCCACACCACGAGATGTTTGATATAATATTGACACAATACCACCGCGACCGATTGATAATATAAGACAAATCTGCGTGCCTTGTGCAAAGTGTCGTCCCTCCTCTATGTATCAATATACATAATATTTACTACATATATGAAGAGGTAACAAAAATCAAACAAAATTATTCGTTTTTATCAGAATTGGATACACGCTCACCCAAACTAAATATTGAAGACCCATTGGTGCATGGCATTCGGCTGTTGTCTGCTCTATGGTCGGGTTGTTGTCTCTTTGACACATTCCCCATTTCCATTCTCAATTTTCTTGATTATAAATAAAAGAGTAAGTAATACGCCATTTTTAGGATTAAAAACAAAATGCAAGTACTCGCAAAGCGTTTTGTGTTCGGACCGGCCGACAAAGCAGCCAGCAATGTGGTGGTATGACGTAAATACTACACGGAAGTCCTTAGAATGAAATTATACATTCAACTACATTCAAGGCCGTACGCTCCACAGAGACTCATATAGTAAATAATCATGTCACTACCACAGCTAAGCTTAAGTCCTCCTCTGAACATTTGAAGGTCCCCACTATGTATTGGTTACCTAAACTACAAAAAAAAAAACGTAAAATATCGTTTCATCGCGGCCTCCAGTAAGTGTTTTACTACTAATCTTTCAGTGCTTTTAACGTATTTCTAAACTACTACCAAAGAACTTATCATTAATTTTTGTAATAAAACATATGAAAATAGTGGAATTAACCATTTTTGGAGTGTAAAAAAATCTTTGGATGTTTTAGATAAATTACGTGCTTATGATGGTCCTTTTGATTCAGTTGACAGTTTTGATTTTTCCACTCTTTCTACAACACTTCCACATAATCTTATCAAACAAAAGTTTTCCTATCTAATTAAATGGTCGTTTGATAAATCTATTTGCAAATTTAATTGCTGCAACTCATATAAAGCCTTTTTCTCAAATGAGAAAGGTAAATATGCTAGATATACTTACTGGAGGTGTGATGAGATGATTAAAGCCCTAAATTTTCTCCTTGACAACATTTATGAACGTTTCGGCAATAAAGTTTATCAACAGATTGTATAAAATTGAGAATGGAAATGGGGAATGTGTCAAAGAGACAACAACCCGACCATAGAACAGACAACAGCAGAAGGTCACCAACAGGTCTTCAATGCAGCGAGAAATTCCCGCACCCGGAGGCGTCCTTCAGCTGGCCCCTAAACAAATATATATACTAGTTCAGTGATAATGAACGCCATACTAAACTCCAAATTGTACACAAGAAACTAAAATTAAAAATAATACAAGACTAACAAAGGCTAGAGGCTCCTGACTTGGGACAGGCGCAAAAATGCGGCGGGGTTAAACATGTTGTATGTATTCCTATGGGCACAAATTGTGCCCCTTTAATAGCAGACTTGTTCCTTTACTGTTATGAATCCCAGTTTATGGCCTAACTCAGTAAAGAACCGTCTAAATTCCATTTGATTGATAAATTCAACAACACTTACCGTTATCTTGATGATATTTTTTCGTTAAATAAGCAAGAATTCTCTAAATATACTGCTGAAATTTACCCAAAGGAACTTACTTTAGATAAATCAAATATTGATAGCAATAACTGTCCTTTCCTTGATTTAGATATTTCAGTGTTACACCAGAAACTCTACAAAATAATTTACGACGAAAGGGATGACTTTTTGGATAACAATGACCGTAATCTATGTAATTACTAGTAAATTATTAAGTCACAACTTACTTAAAACCTTTACTAAATTCTTCCATAGATACAAAGATTTGGTTTGTAAGTTGGCTGTACCTGTAGAAAACTTATTTCAAACGGAATAGCACATCCTAAATTTTACGGTAATGTTGTTAACCGAGTCGGGAAATTTAGATACGATCCGCGTAAACTTATCAGTCCTTTAAATAAACTTATTCTAAAAGGTTACCAATTCAAAACTGTAATTAAATCTTTGAATATTGTTTTTATTTGTATAAATATTGATTTTACTTGTTATCAGTAAATTAAAACCATACTAAATATTACACATATGTACTTTCACGACTGACTACAATACCCTGCCAGGCAGCCACGTACGTCCTGTCTGTTTGATGTTTTTCTTTGTATCGAACTGATTTGTTAAGTCACGGATATAAAATGAATTAAAGCACTAGCAGGACAAATACCCGCCAGTGATATGTCTTTTCCAAGATCATTTATTTATCAAATAACTAGTTTGTTCCCCGTGTCAAAAAGAGTAATTTTGTGGATTTTTTTCCAATCTGGATTGATTGGTGATTGCTTTACGGCGCATCAGCAGAAAAAGCGATCCCAATCTGGAAAACATGTTTATGTTTAGGTACGGAGTTGGTATTTTTCTCATCTTTTTAATCACGTTTAATCAAAAATAGTATTGTAATAAATATTAACATTTTTCTTTTTTTCAATGCTACATGTTTGTATTGTTTTCTGTCTGTCGTTTTGTTATTTATATGTTATTCTTTAGTAACAATCCTATCAGTGGGTTGGCCATGATTTTAAACTAATAACATTATTATTCTTATTCAGTCTTATTCGTTGAATAATTTTCTTAGAAGGGAATATTCACGTATAAATTTCAAAAGACATTTTAGGAAATAAAAAGAATAAGTCATAAAGATACAATGAAAAGATATCACTTTATTCCCACATGTTAGTGATTTTTATAGGACAAGCACGGGGACTATAACAAAGTCGGCCTACCATTATTCTTATTAAGAAATAAAGTGAACAAACTCGGCCTATGATTTCAAGATTATGTTGTTTACTGTCTTTTTTCTACTGTTTTTAAAGTTTACATAATTTATAACAACTTTATAAACGAATTTATAGATAACGATGAATATTTTTGAAAAAAATATAAGAAATGTATTAAAATAAACTTAAGATAAAATGTGTATTTATATCAAATACAGTTTAATTGAAAAATCAGTTTGAATACTTTTGAATGATGATAATTAACTTCTATTTGAAATGTTTTTGTGTATTTCCAGTTTCAACATTATACATAGATTGTGTGAGGACAGACGGATTTTCGTTTTCCATTTACGAGACATTAGAGGAATACATTTTCGTAAATAAAATTGTAATTCTACATTTGACACAATACACTTTGGTGATGTTTCAAGCATAAAATGTAACTCTTGCTTAGCTTTTATAACCGTTGTTTGGTTAATTGTAAAAATGAACTATCCAAACAAAGTACACATCAATTTCCCAATAATCATTCATACCAAGATCATATAACAGTGTTTTAATACAAGTTGTCCATTTGTCCCTTTAATTGCTTTTTGCTACTAATTATATTCTATGTACCAGAGACATATAATGTACTATGAAGTCATTATAGGTGTTTGGTTAAGTTAACGTCACGAAAACTAAAGTGATGATTTTTTCAAGAGGCAGAATGCCGTCAAACTTACATTTTAATATATACGGCAGCTGACATTGAAATAGATAAAGAATTTAACTTTTTGGGCATATTATTATCTAGAACTGGTAATTCTAAAAAAGCACAGAAGCACCTAGCCGATACTACTGTATGGATGCAGGCACGTAGCTCCCTATACGCTTACTCTTCGGCATGCTGAAAAAAATAAAAAGGGCAAAAAAAAATATGAATAAAATGTTTAAAGAAAACACATATATATGTTGTCGCTATTTTAATTGATGAAATGTCATTAAATAGCGACATTTGGTTTCAAACTGAAAGTTTTTTTTTATTTAAATCATGACGTTTCTGGTTATATATACACACATAACATGTCCGGCGTTGAACACGACACGACGTCGAAACGTAGCGAAAAAGGTGAAAAGGCTAAATGGAAAACTATTGACAGTTTTTTTTTACTAAACCCAACAATCCTTGCTGAATGATAGAAAATGATAGAAAATGTCATCTTTGTAATATTGGTAGCATTGGAGACAAATTTCATTATCTGCTAGAATGTCCATTTTTTAACGACAGTAGAAAATTATATCTTGAAAAATACTATTTAATAATACACTAAAGTTTAGAAAATTGATGAGCAAATTAAAAATACGTCAGAGGTAAAAAAAGATTATGCAAGTTCATCAAGTGTGTAAATAAACTTGTGGGTCCTCCTGGCTATATTATTTTGAAACCACTGCATTGTATATAAATGTTTGTAAATAGATGCATATTCCTGTAGATAGTTTGTACTCTCTCTGTAGTATGTATCTGCAATGGTTATGAGCATAAAGATATTATGTTAACTTAATTACGATTTCATGTAATTACAGGTAGTTATGTTCTCACTTGGGTGATTAAAAGCAGTGCACGTGCCAGTTATTAGTTTAACTTAAGGTGATTTAAAAAGGTCACAGTGTCACCAATATACGTGGCAGTATGATGTCATATTCCCAGTTCAAACAAATAAGTCGTGCATATGATAAATAATTTTAAAAAGGACTCATAAAAATAAGAGAAAAGAAAATAAAAGCCAAATAAGTGGTAATTTTTCATTGTCAACTGAAAGAAGTCTTACTTTTCTTTGTATACCTAGTTAACGTTACTTATATTTCTTGGTTGTAAAATGTTCAAAATATATCATTCAATTATTCTAACTCTAATTAATTTCAAATAAAGTACTGCTAATTAATTTCAAATAATGAAACTAACATCTATTATATCTTCTAGTAGTCCGAGTTTGTAATAGTCCGAGTTTGTAATAGTCCGAGTTTGCTATAGTCCGATTTTGTGAGGCCGATTGTGTTATAGGCCGAGTTTGTTATAGTCCGAGTTTGTTATGGGCCGAGATATCAGGGAGTCGTTCATTTAGAGACGTTCGTTAAAGGGAGTTAATACGTTTTCCAAGAAAGTGAAAGTAGGAAATCATGGCACTTGCCGGCAGAATATTAGTGTATGGTGGTAAAGGAGCCCTAGGATCAGCTTGTGTCACCCATTTCAAGGCAAAAAATTATGTAAGATATTGCAGCTAAGTTTTCTTGACCGAAAAAGATGATTTTACAATGTGGCAACTTTTTGGGTTTCTTGAAATTATTCGCAAATTAAAATGTGTAAATCTACCAACCAAGTTCACAAGAAAGTAGTCTGTCAGCTGTCATTATATTCATAATGTAGATTTTGTCTGATATATTTTGCTTAAGGTCTTGAATCTTCATGCATATGAATATTTATATAGAGCATGTCACCATATGTTATAGTCAGTTTATTTTATGCGGCTCCTTGTACATTGTACCTTTAGATACAACTTTCACATTTGTGCACTGTCCTGTACATCTCCAATGTTGCAATGCTTATGCTTTTACAGTAAGAGTCAATTGTTCACTGATGTCATTTATGTGACTCGTTCTTTTAAAGAACTTGAAATTAGTCTATTGGAATAAAAGAGTACCTCAGCAAGTCCAGAATTCCTCATAAACTGCTATCAGTAGTCAATAAATGTCCATGAAACCAAGGCAACTGCTCTGAACTAATCGTAACACATGTTTAAGTTGCTGCTCTGAATTAACCTTAAGAAGCACACTTTTGCCCTTGAGTCTGACACTTTTGCCCTTGAGTTGGAAACATTATAGTAACATGTCTAAAAAATCATCTCCAAAATGATATCATAAACTAAATAACTTAATGTATTTAGTAACATTAACTATAATCCTTTGTCACTGGAAGATATTGAATTGAACTTCAATATCAATATTTCATATATCTTGTCATAAGGGGACAATGATTTAAAAATGTCAGAATTAATGGTTCATTGTACATTTTATATCAGACCTAGAGGCAGGTTATCTTATATAAAAATATAATATTTCCAAACTAAACTCCTCTGGACAGCTAAAAACAGAAATGTCACTATGATGTCATGACATGTTGAAATTAACCTATTTGTAATTAAAACATGTTAAAATGCCCATTTCAAACACAAAGATACTTTCAGGACTTTGCATCTTTGTATGACATATAGTATAAGTACAATGTATACTTTGAGGAAGGCTCTGTGTCATATTGTAATATAGATACAAGAAATTACACTATAGGACTAAAACATGAAAGGACTTGACACTTAGAACTCAGGTGCGGATTCAGGCAGGGGAGAGTCGGGCTAACGCCCCCCCTAAAATTTGCAAAGCATGGGTTGTCCTCAGCTTAATAAAGAATATTTCAATAATTTTACCTCAAAAAAATCTTCGCCTCGCTCCGCTCGGAAAACATTTAAGTTTGCACCCCCCCCTAACCCAAAATCCTGGAACTAGTAGTATTCAGCACTGAGCAGTAAAAAAAAATAGTAACCCAGTCCTCTTTTATTTTCCCATAGATTTCTATTTACAAAACATAAAATCATCCTGAATTCAGTCTCAAAGATGGAAGATTGTGGATAAATCAGATGTTATTTTAAAGGAAAAATGATTTACAATATCTGTATAAATAGAAAACTCAAATCAAAGTTCAATAAAAAAAAAAATCATAACTATGACAATTTTTTTTTTGGCGAGACCTCATTTTAAATAGAAAACTGTCAAATCAAAGTTCAATAAAAAAAAAACCCATCACTCTGACAATTTTTTTTGCTGGCGGGACCTCTTTTTCCTTCAAAAATTACAAGATGTATGTTTGTAATCTACTGTATTTTATTGAAGCAAGATAGTATGACATGGTTATACATTTCCTTTATTTGTAGTGGGTTGGATCCATTGATTTAATGCCAAATGAACAGGCTGATGCCAATGTTATTGTTAAGCCATGTGACTCATGGACTCAACAGGAAGAAGAAGTTGTTAAAGCTGTTGATGGAATTGTTGGAAGTGAGAAGTTGGATGCTGTTCTGTGTGTAGCCGGAGGCTGGGCAGGTGGAAATGCTGCAGCAAAAGGTATAAAACAATTTCAGCTTGGTTAAAGCGAGGGTAGTAAAGACTGATATACCAAGAAGGAAATCTTTCACAGTTGTATAGACTTGCACAATATACCTTTTTTTCATAGAAAAAAAATCTCCATTCTATTTCTAGAGCAAGGAGGAAGAAAGATAGTTGAAGGGAGGGAGGTGGGAATTGAATACAAATAGTACAAAGGTAACATGCTGACTGTCAGACTGTAGAGGAATACTTATTCTGCAATTTTGAATTATTGTATAACATGGTAAGACTAAGGTAAAGCAAGATTAAATATATACTTTTGTTTCCCTTATTACCCAACCAACAATTATAATATGGCACATATGGTGATGCATTTATGGCCACTTTGATCAAGCAATATAAAAATCAACATGAATACTTCCATCCAATTTTTCAATCAAGTTAGTGGAAGCATGAGTAATTTATGGTTGTCCTTGATTTTCATAAGAATTGGATTTGGAGACTTTTTTCTCTAATTTTTGTGCTATTTTCACATTTCTTGATCGGTGTGAGAAAAATATTTCTCCTCACTAGGGAAATATCTGTTCTCGGCAAATGATTTGTTGAAATTTAATGATGACTTAAAATTTTCTTTGTTTCTTCTGAATTTCCTATTGTGACCTCATGAAAAAAGGCAACCATGCCTGTTGACGTCATGAAAAAAGGCTACCATGCCTGTTGACATCACATATAAAGAACACATCTTTGAAAAGGAAGGATAAAATTATTAGAGAAACAGATTCCACCACTATAACTCGTGTATTACGATGTTTCTCCATTCTCAACAGTTAAATTTTAATTATTCAAAAAGCTCTGCAAGCCTTGCGCTTTAAATATTAAAATTTAACTGTCTCGAGTGGAGAAATATCGTAACACACTTGTTGCAGTGTTGGAATCTATATGAAAAAATAAATTGTATAGTCATTTGTTCTATTTGCACTTTTCATTTTTCCATTAGGAGGGGTTGTGATATAGATATCTCATGTTTTATCTGTAACAAATAACAAATATTGTATTTGACTTCCAGAATTTATAAAGAATGCTGACATGATGTGGAAACAGAGTGTTTGGACGTCTGCTATATCTGCTGCTGTTGCTTCCAAATATTTAAAAGATGGAGGACTACTTACTCTTCCAGGTGCAGCACCTGCTGTTAGTGGCACTCCAGGTATCTCATATATATTGTAAAACTTCTTTTGAACACTATTTAGAATGAAAAAAAAATTCAGCTTTACATTTGACTGGTATTATAAGACTGGTAAAAACTGAACATATTTTAGTAATTATCTGTAACTGTAAAGAAAGCATCAGTAAAAACTTCTTTAAAAAAATGTTGCTGTAAGCATGAGGCCAGTTGAAAGGATATTCGTCAGAATGGTCTTTGATATGAAAAATGTTTGCTGTAAATAATGAGGCCATTTGAAAGGGTATTTGCCAGAATTGTCTTTAATATAAATTTTGTTATAGTGTTATGAACACTACCTGGTACTTCAAATAGAACTTACTGTAAACCACTAGATGACATGTTGATTATCTTTTCCTATCAAAAACTAGAGCAGCTTTTATAGAAAAGATATTGAGAAAAAATATGATACATATGTAAGATTATTACCAGAGTTGATTCCATTGTTAATTGTAAATAATTGTTTTAGAACCATTGTTAGTCCATTAAAGAAAAAATATCCACTCTAACCACTCTGCCAATTTAAATCAAATTTAAACACAGATATTCTTAGGATGACAACGGTAGTTCGAAAAGTGTGTCCTTTGTTCCTGCTGACCTCTGTTACTAAGGTGGGTAAGGAGAGAGCCCCTTTTCCGTCGTATTTTAGAACGCATTTTAATGGCCGACATGTTATTGAATTTCGAAAATTCGTAATGTTTGAACAGTTTTGATGCAACAGAGTACTAATACGAGTAATAATTGAATCTAATAGGGACAACATCGATTTGCACCTCTACGAATTTAAAATGTAGACAATTTAAAAGGGAACCAGGCGATCGTTTGAGTTATAATTTTACGATGAATGGGATGAACATTACATCTGTTTGTTTATATTTTCTATATATACTATTCCGTCGATCGAGACTTTGGATTGGGTGTGAATTTAAGACGGCTTTCATACTGTTGTTATCTTAATAAATTATAGTTAAGAATATAGCTGATATAGGTTTGAATAGTACAAAAAATCAACAACTTTCAATAAAAAAAACAACAACAAAAAACACCAAAAACAGATAGAAAAAAGATGAAAAGCAGAAGAATATGTATAGTAAGTCTTGCTAAACAAATCTTTGAATATCCTAAAACTATTTGTACAGTTATGAGCCAAGGTAGCTTTGGTTAGATTCAAAGGGTATATATATATTTGGCACTTTTTTTGTGCATCTTAAAAGCAATGCATTGCATATGCTCTTGGTCATGCAAAGTCCACTTTCACAACAGATCATTAGACAATCAGTCTCAGTGATCCAGTATTAAAATTTATAACTGGAGTTATTGATTGAAATGAGGCAGTTGGAGAATGAACATGATCAAGATTCTATTAGCTGAGTCTATAAGTGATAATTTTATTACAAAAAGGAATTCACTACCTAATATACATATCTTTATTTCTTTAATTCTTACCAATAAATATGAAACAAAGGTACATGTATATTCCATTAAATCCCTATCTATAACAGTGCCTTTATATCTATATAAAGAGTGCCCTAAAAGTGTAGTCCACCGCATAAACATGGTAAGGGGTGCCCTTAAAGTGTAGCCAATGGTGCTAAGAGTGCCTTTATTGTATTATCCCTGTTGCAGTGACATCTGCCTATCATAGTAGAAATCCAAAATAGCAAAATATGGACATAGTTTTAAAAAGAACTTCGGGAGAAATTAATTATACCTACGCAGTCTTCACGATAAACTTTTGAATTCACAGGCCTGTTTTCCATTAATAATGGAGCTATGCAGAAATTGGCATAGAAATCAATTGATCTAAATGCATCCCTAAAAAAATCTCATAAATGCAATTCTGAAATCTTGAATATATTTTTTGTCAGGTATGATGGGATATGGTATGGCAAAGGCTGCAATACATCAGTTGATAAAGAGTTTGGCAGGAAAAAATAGTGGACTTCCTAAAGATTCAAGTGCTCTTGCCATTCTACCGTAAGATCATTTAGTCATTCAGTTTAATTAATTTTTGGTATGATCACAGATTGATTAATGGGAGATCATTATCAGTAGGAAATATTAGATGCATATGAATTGCTTGTGTTCAATAACATAGTTTCTGGGTACAATTGTGTTGATATTTCTTACTATGGCAAGTAAACATATCTTTAATTGATATATATGATAGTAACTAGATAACCTTGTGAGATTTACATGTACAAGAAAGTCTTTAAACAGGCAGACTATTAAAGATCATAACTTGTAAACCTCTTTAATGAGCCCAATTTCATATTTTTCAGACACGTGGAAATCAAATGTTGAAATTGATTAATTTGTAGTGTAATGTAAACTTTGTTTATTTCATTTAGTGTAACTCTAGATACTCCCATGAATAGAAAGTTTATGTCAGAGGCAGATTTTGGTACATGGACCAAACTGGAATTTGTTGCTGAGTAAGTAACTAGATTCTCATTGCATTGTTTATTTGTTGGTTCATCTAGAAATTTAAGAGGGCAGGCTCTTCAGAAAATCACTGTATTTTTTGCTGTGTTGATTTTTTTTACAGATCACAAATTCTGACAAATAATAAAATTAATGGACCAACCTAATTTGATTGGGATTTGAAGCCCTCCCCCCCAAAAAAAAAATAAAAAATAAAAAATTATATTATATTATCCCCTAGTTGTCAATGAAATGGGTAATGATATTTCTGTCAAGAATTAAAATTTTAAAATAAGCTTTATAAAATGCAATCAGCTTGACAAATCATTTGACATTTCATAATCTTTCAGAAATAAATCTGTTTTGATTTCAGAATTGAGAACACACACAAACCAGTTGTTTTATTGCCATTATTAGGCCATAATCAGTTTAAAACCTTCTATAGTGCATAATATTCTAGCATTAAGGGACATTTAACCAACATGTAGATTGAACTTATTTTAAACTATTGCCTAAGCAATGTAGAAATGTGAAAAAAGACAGGAGATCATGTTACCCCTATGAAAATAGATGGGAAAACCTACAAAACTAGATACATATAAAGATAGATATTGACGTTAGAAGTTAAAAGCCACCAAAACAACAGATTCAGGACATATGTAGGCATTGACCAGTTGTTAAGCTTGCTCATAAAAGGCAGCACCCATTACTGCACATGCTCTCAATTACAACATTACAATAAAGCATATGAATATTTAAAACAGAATAAATGAAAGGTAACTTTGATTTAATTTGTTATTTCCTGGTTTTAGTATTAGGAAAATACTTCTTTTTTTTATTTTGTTTTTATATGCTGTTGAAGATGATTATAATATACTAATGTCTGTCCATCCGTCAACACTTTTTTCAATATTTCAAATTTGCATAACCAACACAAGAATTGACAGAAGAAAGCTCCTTTTTCAATTTTTTTTAAATTTTTGGCTTTGTCATTTCAGAGTTAAGGAACTTTGAACCCTTTAGATTAATTAATTTTTTCACAAATCATGCACTTACTCCAGTATTCCTGATTGATTTCCTTCAAACTTAACATTATTGTGGGGATTGATAAAAGGAAGCTCTCCTGTAATTTATTTTTAAATGTCCCATTTGTCTTTCCAGAGTTATATAACTTTAACTGTTACATTTAAGGCAATTTTTTACAAAATGAAATTGCGCAAAAACTCCAGTGTTCCTTGGATTGATTTCCTCCAAACTTTACTTTATTGTGGAGATTGATGAAAGGAAGCCAGTTTTTATTTTTTTCAATTTTCTGGTTTGTCACACTAGAGTTATGGGACTTGAATTGTCAGATTTTAGTAAAATTTTCGAATATTGTACCATAACTTAGTTTGCTTAGATTAATTTAGTGGAAACTTTACATAATTGTTGGAATAGGTGAACATAACAAACTTTTCGATTTAAAAAAAGGTATAGTGAGGAATGTTTTTCTACAGAGCAATTTTATTTGCTTATGATAAAATGTCTGGGAAATATCCCATTTTATTCTTGCAACTATTTCAATAAACATAATAAGGGTGTATCATGCACTCTTGGCCCAGCTGTTTATCTACGGTTGTAAAACCATCTGACAGTGCAGACCATGTATTATGTAACATGTGCTTCATTCAACTACAAACCAGCATAACTAGAAAAATAAAAACAAAATAAAACTACTAAAAACTACTAAGTATAACTATAAAAAGAAGAATTCAATTCATAACTAAAAGAAGCTTGTTGTCATTACATTTTAGACTGTTTTATTTTAGATTGTTTGACAAGTGGTTGGCACCCGGTACTAGACCAGGCAATGGTAGTCTGATCAAGTTGGTAACCAAGGACAACAAAACAGAACTGGTGTCTGTGGAATAAGGACTGAATAAAATATAGATTGCCAAATAACAGTAACTTGTCATTATATAAAGTGTTGTGTCAACTAGTCATATGTTTAGTATTCTGGTTAGGGTTTTTCTGTTCAATTTATTTTATGTATTCCATTTTTTTTTGGATATTTAAGGATGTTTTCTGCCAAAATTAAAAAAAAGCATGTAAATGCATGTATAAAATTCTTTTTTGATCAACAAATTTTTAACTAAGAGTTGTCTGCTGCTGTCTTTCTATTTTTATCCAAGCTGTAAGCTATGCTCATGACCTGTCAAATTATTTTTCACAATTATGACAAATAGTGGTTGCCACACTAGTGGTTGAAGAGTATACTCCTAACCTTAAAGTAGTCTCTTTTTTTCACAATAAGGACATATTCTTTTCTTTCTTTAAAATAAATAATAAATGAAATTTAAACATACAATTTTGCTTTTTTGGATGCTGCTTCACCAGGAAATTGCTGAGACAAAAGGGAGACAACTAAAGATATCATACATTGGGAGGGTCTATTAAACCAAATGAGACCTTTAAGAATAACCAAAACCATCTGAGTTCTCTGTATTCTATATTTCGTTATGAACTGTAGTATTTGACAGAATTACATTTTATGCTATGATTGCTTTTCACACAATATCAAACCAATATTTTGTAACATTAGAATGATGAATTTTGGAAAACAAATGAACAACAGTTAAAATGAATATTCATGATGTTGACATGACTGAAATTTTTTTTA